TGATGTGCCCAGTGTGGGTACTCCGGGCACTCCAAGCCAGGACTGCTTTGCAAGCGGGGCACCCCTGAGAACTGTCTGGCCGGGGTGGGGGTCGGGACCCTTTAAGCACAGCCCTCGGCTAACCTGACACAGCATCTCCACGCTCTATGTTCTCCTCTGATGCCCTGCCGGCACTGCTTCTGGCCATCCTTAAGCCTGGTTCAGGGTCCACTTAATGTGGACATGCTAGTTCGAATTAGCAAAACGCCAATTCGAACTAGTTTTTTAGTCTGGATCTGTTAGTTCGAATTAGCTTAGTTCGAATTAACTAATTCGAACGAAGTTAGTTCGAATTAACGTTGTAGTGTAGACGTACCCCAAACTCCTTCACCCGTACTCCCAGAGCCCTGTAGTCACTCTTGATCCACTCAGTGTCACACCTCGCAGTATCATTAGTGCCCACATGGATGAGTAGCATGGGGTAGTAGTAAGAGGGCCGGATAATCCTCGACAATGTTGTTCATTTCCAAGTTTTTAGTTTTATTTTTGAATATCATCTTTTGCTATACAGTTTGAACCTCCTGTAATTCGGGACTCCTTGGTCCAGCATCATCCATTGTCTGGCAGGACCACAGATGTTCCAGGACCAAAGAGTCCCGGTGGAGGGCTGGTGGCTTGGCTCCCTGCTGCTGAGCTGCCCAGCACCCCACCACAGGGCATCCAGGCACAACCCAGCAGGGCCAGGAGCTTGGCGCTCTGCAGTGGGGGCTGCCTGGTGGGGTCAGGAGCTTGGTGGCGGGGCCACGGCTCAGGGAGCCCGTAGCAGGGGAGCCAGATATGACTTCCTCGGTCCGGCAAAATCCCTCACCTAGGACCAGTCAGGTTCTGAGTGTGCCAGATGAGGGAGGTCCAATTTGTATTATTAAATAAGGATAACCAATTGGCCTTCTCTGTCCTTTTCAGATTTTATAACTCTCTAGCATATCTTCATGTGTCTGCTTTACAAATTAAATGGTACTCGTTATTTTAATCTCTCCTAAATGGGACTTTCTCCTCACCTACATAACCATTTTACATATGGAAAAACTGTCAGATGAAGTGGTTCGCCTATAGCCACATGCTGAATTACTGGCAGAATCAAATTCCGGAGTTCTTGTGTGGTTTTGTCAGCCCCTCCTTACTCAAATTTAATATTTGATTCTTGATCTGTCCATAATGACACTTACTTTTCTAAGACAGGGGTGGCCAACCCATTCTGGGCAAAGAGCCAAGATAGCAGTGGATCCAGTGCGAAGAGCTGGGACAAAGTTGCACCACATGCTGAATTACTGGCAGAATCAAATTCCGGAGTTCTTGTGTGGTTTTGTCAGCCCCTCCTTACTCAAATTTAATATTTGATTCTTGATCTGTCCATAATGACACTTACTTTTCTAAGACAGGGGTGGCCAACCCATTCTGGGCAAAGAGCCAAGATAGCAGTGGATCCAGTGCGAAGAGCTGGGACAAAGTTGTCGAGTGCCCCCCGCCCCCCCCCAAATAAAAAGGACTGCCCCTTTTGCCCCTTTAAAAGGAGGCCCCAGTCGCGTTTGGTTGAACGAACACACACACACACACACACACACACACACAAAAGCTCTGCCTCTTTAAGAAACAGCATTTAAACGCGTTTTGTGTCTTTTTGGCTACAGCAGGCTCCTGCCGCCATCTTTATTTCTGCAGCTTTCATGGCCGCGCTGGACGGCTCCCCTGCCCAAGTCAGCACAGGGAGCTGGGAGGAGAGGGCCGTTTTTGGCACCACGGGGGGTAACTAAAAAAGCCACCCCCGGGGTGGGAAGAGCCGCATGCGGCTCGCGAGCCTCGGGTTGGCCATGACTGTTCTAAGACATTAAAACTAACTGGCAAATTGAAAGATATGCACTACATTAAATCTACTCTAAACATTGTTTTGGTATCAGTGCTTTATGCCACTGCACTGTTCACTCATTCTTTCAAAATAATAAATGCTGAAAGATATAGGCCCTTGTATTGATCTTATTTATTCTTGCATAGATTCCTAACCAATTTTTTAACTCTCAAGACTTTACGCCTCATGCCAAATTACCGCAAGTGTGCTTGCAAATGATTTTTTTTTTTAATTGGGCTTCTGCTCTTTTTGCTGCTTTCTGATGTAAAGTTGGCTTGAAAAGTTTGTGTGTGGTTTTAAAGTGTTAGTCTTGGTTTTTTAAATCTTATAAATATAAATAATGTTGAATCTGGTCTCTTAGTTTTGCTGAAGGATCTCTTAGTTAAGATCTGGAAGCATGATTACTGCAAACACTCTTGACCTGAATGCAACAGGCAGGGATGTTGAGTCCTTGATCAATTACATGCTTTTTCCAAGTATAGAGAAGTACAGATAACTTTTTTGAAGCTTAGAATAAATCCACTAGTCAGTCTTTGTACACTATTTTAATGTTTCAAAAACTTCTTCTGGTTAGGGAGGAATAATTTACAGAAATCATATTTGTTTGCCCTTATGTTTTTGTCTAGATACTTGTAACAATCTTAACTTGCATGCTTTTTATACTGTGTAGTGGGTGTTTATGAATGCTATTTTATTTCTGATCATGCTCAGGGTTTGAATATCGCCTGCGAGAATTATGCAACGATTTATTGGGTCCAGTCCATTACTCAGCTGGAAGTCAGTGGGAATCAACAGTCGCGGTGAATGCTGGTTTTTGTTTTTTAAATAAAGTAGGGGAGATACTCCTTTTGTGTATGAACTAGATACTTTAGCTGAATGTACTTTACATTACGTCTCAGTTTCTTTTGGTAACATTTAAAAGAACCCTGTTAAAGTGGAGAACCCAAAATTTGATCTATCCTTAAGTGTCAGTGTTGTTGTTTTAAAAGTTCACTACTAAGGCTTTCTTGTAATTGTCCTAGTAGGGTTCTATATTCTTTTTAAAAGAGATTTTTTGCTTAACTTTAAATGCTGTTTCTAAAACTGCCAACATGGTGCTGATTCACAAAGAAGTAAGTAAATTGAATGAGCCAAGCCTTGTCCAGACACTGTTTTTTAAGGAAGATCTGTAACTTTTAAACTGTTGGAAAGGTTGATAGCCACTTGAAGTATTCTTCAAATTGCATAGCTAGCAAGCAAGCAACCCCCAAAGACCACTGTGGAACCCCTTCAATTGATACCTAATCCATCCTTTCCATTAACTAAATAGTAACTGCCTTTATTATATCTGGCACTGTCTACAAATACTTAGCATCAAAGTGCAGATAATGGAATTGTTATCTAACATACCTATTAGATGGAATAGGTTGCACCTTCAGTGCTCTCCATTCAGCAGGTATGTACCTTTAAAAGGGCTTTATGTCAAAGGAATATGTGCTCTTCAAAGAACACTTCCACAGTCTATCACCATGTGGAAGCAGCAACAGGAACATTTAATATGTGCTCCCAATGTTTTTATTATTTAGATTTCAATAGTAATAACAGGGAGGCGACACCAAATAAACAGCTCTAATATAGAGAGAGACCACACTGTATCAAGTGCCTACATAAATAATACAAAATAAATTGGAGGATTTTTGACATTTTTGTGCAGGGTTTACGAAAGAGAGAGCTACTGAAAGAACTGCTTCCTGTCATCGGACAGAATCTCCGTTTCCAGAGACTTTTCACGGAATATCAAGAGCAGCTAGACATCTTGAGAAACAAATCGTCTTTTCCCTGAAGGACCTGGTCTAAGGGAAACTGCTGAACAGCATTAGCCAGAGACAGAAGAGAAGAGAGCCCAGCCAGAATGGGATACTCCTGAAAGGGGCAGTACCAGAATGGCCCCACATGTTTCATGAGTGATAAAATTTAGTTTCTCAAGAAGCTCACAAAGACTCATATGGAAACGAGTGGCGGAGCTGTTTTCCAAGTGGAATTTGAACATTAAAGCTTTGGCCTGTGTTCCTATAGAAGGTTGTAGATCTGTACTTCTAGGGGGTCTTTTTGGGTCTGAAACTTGTGATACCAAGGAGATTAGCTGAGAACGGTTTGGGGGATTTTTTTGGCTGTTCCGTGAAAAGCACAGTACTCCAGAATACACTGAGCAGCATATCAACCCTGTTCAGGGGTTTTTGCCTGAGGATTAATCAAGATAAAAAAAAAAAGCCATATAAGAAGAAATTTCATAAAATAGTAAGGCATTATGCAGCCAAAAGACCCAAACCTGTAAATATAAGAGGCTGTTCTAATGCAAGAACTATTTTTGTACTAGAATTTGCTAACTTTTAAATAAGATTC